ACGAAAATGGTTCATTTTTGACAGACCCTTTTCCTGTTTTTCTCTCTCTCTATCTTTCTTTTTTTTTTTCGTTTTCTTCTTTTTTCTTTTTTTTTTCCGTCGGATGAGAGAGAATTAATACTTTAGGTTTTTAATATCCCCTTACATATCCGGTATGATATATTTTCGATGAAATATTGAAAATACTTTTGACATATTCATTTTTGACATTTTCCCATTGACCATGCTCTTTTGGTCGATGAAAATAGTCTGTATAACAGATATTTTTCGCATGCGTTCGAATTTGAACCGATTAAAATATTAATTCTTTCGCGTGAAAATAACAAAAGCATTAGTTAGAAAATGTTATATTTATTTTCGATTAAAAGAAAAAAAAAAAAAAAAGAAACACAGAAAAAGAAAAAAGGAAGAAAGAAAAAAGAAATTAATTCTGTTATATAAAAAAAATTTTTTATTAGATAGAACATGCGTCCTGAAAAAGAAATTAAAAAATTTGTATCTCTTTTAGAGTCACTTTCATAGTTATTTAAATGGCTTGTATACGTGTACATATACATTTATATGTATGCGTTTCAATCGATGATAAATAATAATTATCTACCATTATGTTATGAATTTAGAAGATTTGCAAGGAACATTAATGGTAATAAATGAATGTTCAAAAAAGTCCTGACCTTGAATAATCGTTGAATCATCTTCTATAGTCCGTCGGCTGGCAAGGCGATAGATATATTATTTTAGGAAGATCCAGGAGATCTCTTGATCTCGTTTGATGGGTTAGCTTGAACTACTATAACACAAGGTCCCTAATGCTACGTCATTATTTGTTAAATATTCGAAAACTCTAGATATAGATAGATAGATAGATAGAGGTAGAGTGAAAGAAAGAGAGAGAGAGAAAGAGAGAGAGAGAGAGAGAAAGAGAGAGAGAGAGAGACAGAGAGAGAGAGAGAGAGAGAGAAGAATGGTTAAGAACAACAAACCAGAGTTCAGTTTGCAGAGTTTGAATGTACTCTTGCGAGAGCGAACAAACGTCTTTCTATGTTTTTCTAACACCCTCTTCTTTTTCTTTTGATGTACCTACCTACCTATCCATCCTACTGTGGGAAATTTATCCAAATTTTTCTTTTTCTTTATTCTTTTTGATATTTTTTTCCTTTTTTCTTTTTTCTTTTTATTTTTTTTTTTTTTGATTTTTTCATCTTTCCTCTTTCTTTAACGTGCATTCCTTTCCTTTTGTAATATTGAATTTTTGAGATATTCAATTCTATTCTCTTATTGGCAAAACACGTTTTGATAATAAATTAATTAAATTTCATTCTTTACTATATTTTTAACACACATGAAATGTCCACTTCTAATATTGCAATAAACATTGTAAAAATTAAGAATAATTTCTTAATATTAAAAAAAAAAAAAAAGAAAAAAGATATAAATCTATCTATATAAAAATAAAATGTGAAGGCAAAGACTCAAAAGTTAAATATTAAAGAGGAACGAAAGACAGAAATAGAGAGAGAGAGAGAGAGAGAGAGAGAGAGAGAGAATCGATAGAAAATATAATATATATAATTCGTGCGATCTAACGAGAAGTATCTCGTTTAAATCGAGCATTACTATGGGTCCAGTGTTTGCGCCGTTTATATCGTCGAAAGCAATATTTAACAAATTGCTTTCGTTTCCGTCGTCGGGTTTCCTATCGTCATTCGTGTCCCACAAAGGATTTGGCTCGGAGGACTCACTTAGCAATTAGCTAAGGTTTCATTTGATGAACCGAGAGACAATAGGATGCTGTATATAATACGTTCACGAGATTTAGTACTCGAGAGAGATTTTCTATTCACCGATAGCTAGTATAACCTGATTAACTTTGAATCGATATATATATATATATGTCGACTAATGGAAAATTAGAACTTTCTATCCATAATAACTGGAATTAATTGTGATTAATTATCTATTAAAACAAATCTATTATTTTTTAATAGTAGATATAGCATTATAAAATATATGAAAAAAGTGTTTTATATATATATATATATATATATATATATATATATAATATGTATAGATTATTTTTTATATAAAAAAATCAATTTTTTAAATACATAATATATATATATATATTAACGTTATATTATATAATTATTATATAATAATTATTATATAATAATTAACGTTATATTATATATATGCACGCGTTAAGATTATAAAGTAAAATAGTTCAAGTTGTAATCTACTTAATTAAAGGAAAAAAAAAAACAACAAGAATTACTCTTTAGGTAATCTTTGGAAAAAGTAAACAGGAGGATAATCCAAAGAAAGGCTTTCAAAAGGATTTCAGTAATGTTTCCCTATTAGTAAGGATTATATTTCCTTTAACGAATTATTTGCGATAAACAGATCGACCGATAGAACGAACCCCACTTGTGCCATTTTCTTTTCTGAGCAGGTGCAAGGAGTAAAGAAAGAATCTTCTTACGAACTAGCAGTAGTATTATTATTCTTTCCTTTTTAGTTTCTAGTTTTTCTTTTTTGTAAATTCCCGGATTAGCGATGGAAGCACGAAATTTTACCGATTTAACGAGTGGAACTTACTAGTACGAACGTATTAGAACAGAAAAAATATTTCTTTCTAAATTCCAAAATAAAGACGAAAAGTTTCTTTTTAAATAAACATTCATTGGTGGAATTTCTCTATTTAATGAAATATTTATGAGTAAATAAGTAACTAAGTAAGTAAATATAACGAGCGAGCGAGTAAGTATTGCGTTTTAGGTAATCGATAGTTAGTTTTAGTCAGATAGATAGATAGACAGATAGATATAATGAATTAAGTATTCTTATGTTTTATTAATGATAGTTCCTGCATTATATGAGATAAATGTTTCGTATACTCTGTGAACATATACCTACATACATATACATAGATACATAGGTATAGGTAAATACCTATGTAAAACGAGTTTAAAAACTTGACTTTGTATTAGAAGGAAATAGGTAGTAGATACTTTGTTCAAGATTCTTATAGGTATTGCATTCGCTTCAATTATATATGTGCATACTAATTTTTTCTTTTTTCTTTTTTCTTTTTTTTCTTCTTTTTTTTTTTTTTTATCTTTCAACGTTAATCGTCCGATTGTCAGCCAACAATTTTTTCAACGGCGATTCGACCAAAATGAATATATTATGAAAATAGATAAGCAACCGAAAAAGAAATATCTTTCTCTTTTATTTTTCAACGTGTACCTTGCTTCTTTTGTAGAAAGAAAAAAAAGATAATGAAAAACGAAAAAAAAAAAAAAAAAAAAATAAAAAAAATAAAAAAAAGGATCGAGCAATAAGTTTGAAACCTGAAAAAGTTTTTCTTTTCTTTTTTCTTTTTTTTTTTCTTTCTTTCTTTCTTTTCTTCTTTTTTCTTTTTTCTTTTTTTTTTTTTTTTTTTTTTTTTTTTAATAAGAAAAGAGTTAGGTGGAAAAAGAATGAAAGATTCGTTGTTTATTTGTTTAATATTTTTTTTTTCTTTTCTTTCTTTTCTTATTTTTTATTTTATTTTATTTTATTTATTTATTTATTTATTTTTTTTCGTATGGGAACAGAGACTTTATTAAATTTATTTATTTGTTAAATCACTTTCTATAGGTAGGCTCGCGCGATCTTGTCACTTTCGTTCATTTATTTGTTTGTTTGTTTATTTTTTTATTCATCATGTTTTTCTTTCTTTCGTTGGCGAAGTTTTTTTTTTCTCTTTTCTTTCTTCTTCTTTCCTTTCTTTTTTTTTCTTTTCTTTTCTTTTTTTTTTTTTTTCTTTTTTTCGGTTTAATCAATCGAGAGAGACAATTCGCGATATACGACGACGAAAACTCGCGTTTTAACGATGTACATCGAATTTGTTTAAGGGGGAAAAGAAAAAAAAAAAGAAATAAGAACAAAGAAAAAGGAAAAAAGAAAAAAGAAAAGAAAAAATAAATAAATGAAAAGAAAAAAGAAAATAAAAATTGTCTTTCTAAGTCTTTTTAACATCGAATTATATTCGTTCACATCACTTTTCCTCCTTCTTCTTCTGTTTTTTTCACTGGATGATGATGATGATGATGATGATGATGATGATGATGATGATGATGATGATGATGTTGTTGATGATGATGATGACGATAATGATGATAGTGGTGATGACGATGAGGATGACGATGACAATGACGATGACGATGACGATGATCATTGTTTCTTATCGCTAGACACTGGTCGAGCGATATCCAATCGCATACACATATACATACATACCTATCATACATACATTTGCATACATACATACATACATACATACAAACGTGAATATACGAAGATTCTTTGTACAGATGATGATACACTTTTATTTTTGTTCTTTTTTCTTTTTCTTTTTTTTTTCCTCCTATTCTTTTCGTTTGGTACATCGAAAAAAAAAGAAAAAACAGAAAAAAAAAGAAGAAAGAAAACAATGTCTATTTTTACAATACCACTACGTATAATCTATCTATGCGAATTGTTTGTTTATTCTTTTCTTTTATTCCTTCCTTCTTTATATTACACTTTGAACATACGTGAGAGATCTTTGACTCGATTTTATATCTATTTACAAGTATGTAATTATAAATCCTTCTCTCTCTCTCTCTCTCTCTCTCTCTCTCTCTGTATTCTTTTTTTTCTTCTTTTTTAAGAAGCATCAGTCTCCCTGATAATCTTGATAAGAACAGATAGGGGCTTATTGCACTTAATCGTTCGTCGATGTTAAATCAAACTTTCACATAAGGGTATCGATGGAGATCACTATGTGTACGTATCTAAACGACGTTTATTTTTTGTTTATTATTTTTTTGTGTTTTTCTTTTTGAGAGGGGGGGGGTGAGGAGGGTTTTTTTGTTCTTGATGATTTTCAGACACTCTTTTGAAATTTCATTTCGTCGAAGAGAAAGAGAGATAGATGTATACACGCACATAAACGCACATGCATATATGCACGC